ATACCAAGAATTTCGAACAGAAATAGGGGAAAGTTTACTAAACATACATATACAGAACACAAAGTACATACTAGTCTCGTACACAAAAAAATGGCGACTGTGTACTAGTACAACAACTAACAGACATGTGACACTGCAAAAACACGGCTGTGATTGCAAAATTTAGACTGATACGATTATGGCACATTACAACATTAGGAAGTTTTTAATAGCTTCAACCCGTCCTTCGTAGGTTCCTCTGTACCTCTACGGTAGCCAGGCTTTAGCGCCCGCAAACAGTGTAAAACTATAACAGACAGATTTTAGAAACCAACGAAGTTTTAAGAACTTACCTATTTTGTTCCAAGTAAAAATCCACGCTGACCAAGCCGGCTGCCGCGGCGCGCTTCCCCAGTCTAGTCCGGTGACCATACCAGCGGAGCTCCCCGGTAATTCCTCGGTGCTGCGCCGCCGGCCGGTGGAGAGTCCGTTTTTAATTGGGGTATAACAAAATCAAAAAGGAGTGGAAACTAGACAAGAGAGACAGGAGGTTTTTTAACTATTTTCTTTTTTTTAACTTTTCGACGTGACAGAGACATAGACAAAGGAAGGGGAATAGAAAAAGGATGTGCCAAGCTACCCACGACAGGTTACTGTCCAAGTGCTCCCACCAACCCACTCCTGCCAACTTGGCACATCAAAATAAAATAATGACATAAAAGACAGACATTCCACAACAAAAGACTAATACGAGTAGTAGGGAACGGGGGGTTGCAACCGCAGGCGTAGTTTTGGTGGAGAGTCCCCGGCGCCCCGGCCCGGCCAGTGGAGAGTCCCCGGCGCCCCAGCCCGGCCAGTGGATAGTGCCCGGCGCCCCGCGCCCGGCGGGAACCAAAAGCTGTGGGGCCCGGGAGGGTTCTGGCAACTGGTGTCCCCAACTCCGTTCTGAAGTTCCGAGCCGGCTGTTGGCCGTTTTAAAGTCAGGACTTACATCAATCAACATTTTAGACATCGTAACTAGGGGCGTTCTATAGCCTGGGACCATCATTGGTGAATACATAATGTCATTGACTATTTAATTGTAATATTGAGCTGAGAAAACTGTTTCCCTGACACTCCAAACAGGTCGGGTGAAAAGTTCAAGCCATTGACCCACTTTCGCCTATCCAAGAAGGCTATGCTATAACGTTAGATAACCTTCTTTGCCAGTCTGAGCGCAGTGAGAGCGAAGGTATGTTTCGCAGGAAATAAGAAATTAGGTGTTCGTTACCACTCTCCCGATGTGGAAATGAAAGTAGATTTGGTTACGTTTCGCGACGATTGGAAAAGTCCATTGATCCCGATCATTGGGAAGCCGAATATTCCACTTCCGGGTTCTGCATGCTATTATATAAGCAGCAGCCCATAATACTCTGACAAACATTTGACCAATCAGCAACCGCATGCTGTTACAGGTCTTTCAGATAAAAAAAAAAGTGACCATGCCTGTCTGCCCGCCCATATCATGTTATACTTGGGGCGGGTTGTGTAACATAAGCTTGATCCTTCGACCAATCGTGGGCCCATAGAGTAAGTTTAGACCCTTGAAGTCGGCCGCCGACGAACTATATATGGTTTACGTGGTAGTCCGTGGGTGGGGCGAGAAAGATGAGAAACCTCTCATGTGGGACTGTTTTGGGGGCGGTACTACGTCGTGAGCTACCCATGAGCTCACATCTGGTACACACATGTAAGAACTGGCCAACACAGCATTCCCTAGCCTGTGTTACACAAGGTTAATGACCCCTAATCTCCAAGCAGATCCCTCTCGGTGGCAAGAAGACAGTATCAAATTGGCTAGACAGTATCCATTAGCCAGAGAAGCTCCATTAGCCACCGACGGGATCTGCAGAAAGTCGCGCTGTACAAGGTTATTATCACTCAATTGTTATCTAATCAAAGTTTCAAACCGCGATCAGTCCGGGTTTAGGAAGAAGAAGGTGTGAATTATGCCCGGCGCGCGAGCCCCTGTCCTAATCTCCAAGCAGATCCCTCTCGGTGGCAAAAAAAAGTATCAAATTAGCCAAACTGTATCCATTAGCCAGAGATCGAAGCTCCATTAGCCACCGACGGCCATATATAAAAAGGTAACGATCATTCCCCACAACCTCTGCTTGGAAAGTACCCCTGTCCGGCATCTCACAGGAAGTATCGTCACAGGTCATTTACGATACCGTTAGCGGGCCAGTTTGAATTCCAGCCGCGGCAGTAAAAGAGGCGAAAGTCCGACGCGTTTTCTGTGATACCAACTCTTGCCCGCCCGCTTCTTTCATTTTAATGAATAAATGAATACGCCTCCCTCCCACAACAAAATACGAAGCATTGCTCTCCCCCTTTTCTCCGAAGATAAGGCCACACCAAGTAAATTTTATGGATGACGTCCTTTGGAGACCCTAAATCTAATGCGAGAGGGCGAAAAAAAAAACAAGAAGGGCCATAAAAAACAAGATGCCTAGATTAGAAATATACTAAGAGACGACAAATGTTAGGACACAAATTAAATGAGGTGACACAGTGTAACAAGCAAGAAATCTTTTATTCATCATCAAAACAGCAATAAATCAGGTGGAACAGCAGTTGTCGTCTTGTGCTTTGGGGAGATAGATGGAGCGGTCAGCAAGTTTCTTCAAATGTGGCAGCATGTACCAAACTGAATTCCTAATAGAAGTCTTGCTTGATGCTTCATAAGCTTTGGTCCGTACAAACCTATTTGTGGCACTGTCGTGACTCTTTGGTCATAGTAACAGGAACAGGCCAAAATCAATGCGCGCGTGGACGTCATCCATAAAATTTACTTGGTGTGGCCTAAAGTGCAAATACAATCCTTGTGCTCTTCACACAATTGAAACAAAAATATACTCGACGTCCACCAGTCAGTGATACGCTAACATATGTCAATAGATTCGTTTTCTTTATTCATCGCGATATCGGCAAATTTCGCAGTCTTACGTTACACAAATTATCCCATGTGGTGAAAATATCCGATGCATCATCGAACAGTATATTTTTCTCCTCCTTGCAAACAGTAAATAATCAAGTACCTATCTGTCCACTATCCTGGCTTCGAGGCCATTAAATGGACTATCCAGCACAGAGGAAATTCACATGGCAAATCGGAAAGGAAACTAACTTTGTGGAATAAAACAACGTTTGCAAACTTTTAACCATGCAGGGACAACAAAATGTCTAGAACGCA